ACCAGTTGGACTCTCCCACGTGGAAGGCATTTTCCAAAACACCCGACAGTGTCTTGAATGCACCCCTACACGGTGTGCCCCCCATACCTGTGTGCTCTCGTCCCTCTGCCTCGGGGACTCAGAAAACGCTGCTCCTCCAACTGGTCCGGGATCACCAGCCAGTCTGGTCTGGTCTCTGCCCATCACAGCAGTATCCGGCCTTCCACCTGAACTGCAGCGCCAGCACGAGAGAAACGGACAGACCAAGGCCCCGGTACAATGAACTAACCTGCCTCCTAGACCCCAGGGAGGCGCTGCACGCCTGGCAGACCTGTGGGGCCATGGCCCCTGCTGCGCATAAATATCGGGGTGAATTGTATGAAACTGACAGGGGTTTTTATAGGTCAAAAATGGTTGAACACACACACACACACACAAAGGCTGAATATCAGTAGTTTCATGCAATTCAACCTAATACTTTGGGTCTTGTGCTCTTTATCCCGTTTTCCAAAAGCACTTGACTGATCAGTGTTTTTTAAGTGGGTGGTAGGGGTGGAGGTGGATCGTTGCAACAGGAAATGAAGCTGATGGCATGGGGCCCGCTGGCTGGGATATGCCAGGGTGGGCAGGGGCAGCCGGGGCTGTGGGTCTCACTGGTGCTCGAGGAAAGACTGGGAGCACGTGGCTGCCTTGTGCCCTGAAGTTCAAGGTCAGGGATGTGCACCTTGGCACGCCCTGCTAGGCACTCCCTCTTTATCCCCCTTTTAATCTGAAGTGGTAAATCCACTTGATTAATTACAAGAACTTGGGTGAAACCCTCCGGCCACTTCCCCAGGAAGGCGACAGACTATATGGATTGGGTCACGCTCCAGCAAACAAGCCACGGCTGCCAATTCAGTCGTTCAGCCGGTGTTTACGGAGCCCCTACTGTGTGTCAGGCGTGTGCTAGGAGCTTAAAGATCCAGTGTTGAGCAGAGACGCCCTGGGCCTCCCTCCCGGCTGGTAGACTCCGGTGGGAGAGACAGACAAAAATAAAGGACCAGCCAAAAGGTGGAAGCAACCCAGTGTCCATCAACGGATGAGTGGATAAAGAAAATGTGGTGTACACATAAAACGGAATATTATTCAGCCTCGAAAAAGGAAGAAAGTTCTGACACATGTTGATGAACCTTAAGGACATTATGCTCAGTGAAATAACGAATACTGTATGTACGTCAAAAAGTCAAGTACTCTATGATTCCACTTAATTCGTAGATAGAAAGTAGAACAGTGGTCACCAGGGTTTGGGGGAGATGGGCCTGGGGACTTGTTTAATGGGTAAAGTTTCAGTTTTACAAGATTAAAAGAGTTCTGGAAATGGGCTACCCAACAATGTGAATGGACTTAACATACTGAACTGTACACTTAGAAAGGGTTATGATGGTAAATTTTATAGTGTGTGTATTTTAACACAATTGAGAGTGTAATGTGGGGTCCCTGCCCTGAAGTCACTTAGTGCCCCGCTGGGGATTTGACTTTTCTTCCTGAGGGCAGTCTGACGATATACGTCATCACCTATGTACGCTATACGTCATCATCTATGTATATATATCCCTTGACCCGGCAGTTTCACTCCTGGGATATTTCCTAAGGCAGTAACCGACAGCCGTCTGATGATGGGTGTGCCACAATGATGTTTGCAGCACTGTTCAGAAGAGTGAAAAATTGGAAACAATTTAAACTCCCATCAGTGGCGGGTTGATTTAATTAAGTTTAATAAATCCAAACTATAGAACCATAGTTTCATGTGGAGACCGTTACTTATGAACACAGTACAACTGCTGTGATATATAGTTAAGTATCATATAATAGCATCTACATGACCCTATTCTTCCAAAAAGGAAGGAAGGAAAGGAGGGAGGGAGGGAGGGAGGGAGGGAGGAAAACTGAATTGTATATATGCCCAGAAAAGGGTGTAAGAAAATTCACAACACAGTGTTAAGCAGGGCTCTATCTGTGTGACCTTCCTCATTTTGCTTTTTTGTTATTGTCCTAATTTTGCACGATGTGTATGTATTTCTCAGGGGAAAAAAGGCAAAGCAACGTCCATGGTGGGGGTCAGAGAGGCAGTGCAATGCGGGTCCTAAGCCCACCCAGAGCCCACCATGCCCAGATGGCTTTCGAGGGCTTGCTTCACTTGGTCCCCCCGAGACCCAGACGTGTTGGGGGCAGGAGGCTGGCACGCCCAGGGGAGGGCAGGCAAAGCCAGCAGCGATGGATGCCCAGGCCTTCGCTTAGCAGAGGGAGGCCAAGTGAGCCCCTCACCAGCCCCCCATGGCCCTGGGCTTGGACACCTGGTCTCGGGAGCCACACAGCAGCTCTACAAGGACAGGGTAGCCTTGGTGGCGGCTGTTTGTGTTTGTTTCCTCTCCCTATATGACACCTCCCTGCCCTCTAGGCATCTAGACACTTAGCATCCATGATGGTGATGTCTGACCCGCTGAGGATTTACCCCCTGCTCAACCACAATTTAGCAAGCCCCTACTTCACATCTGTAGACTGTTGGGATGAGACTCGGGGAACCTTCAGTGTGGAGTAGAGGCCAATAGAATGGTAGGCTGGCCTTGGGCAAGTTGCTTAACTTGTCCGAGCCTCAGTTTTCCCATCTGGAAAGTGGGAATAATAATAGAGCTTCCTCAAGGAACCGTTATCACCAGATGCCTCTGGGAATGGGAAAGGAGACTTTAATTTCACACTTTGTGAATTTTAGATCATGTGCATGTATTACTGATTCGAAGAAATATCTACATATCGCAGGAGGGCTGCGAGAGGACCAGAAAGGGTTTTCCAAGGCGGCTCCAAGAAGCATTCATCTCTACGTTATTCGAGAGCCACACGCAAAAGCAGGCCCTTCTGCACAGGGAAGCTGGGAGGGAGGGCTGAGTGACTCGTGCCCGGGACAGTGTTTGGACTCAGTGGTCCAGTGCCTGGCACTCTGGAGCATAAGGAGGTGACTGCCGTCTACTTGGAGAAATAGATACACCTCACTCCACAAGGGAACAGTAAGTGCTACAGTTAAGGTTCTGCAGACCCATTACTAGGGTTGAGTTCCGCTAGGAAAACTTGCTGGGTAGGTTCCAAGTGGGAAGAACTGTCTGTCCTTTTGCTGTGTTGGAGAACCCTGTGCACATTGGTATATTAAAGGCTCTGAGAAGTCCTGCAGTAACAGAGCTTGGTTTAACTTGGTGCTTCTTGATGGACATGAAGGAGAACTCTTCTTTTTTCTTTTCTTTCTTTCTTTCTTTTTTTTTTTGGCTTGGTCCCTGCTAACAGCCCACAGATCCAGTTGGTGTAGAGGAGTTGGGGAGTGGGAAACACTGTCCTCTAGAGAATCAGGGCAGACTCTGGCCCTTTGATTTGATTTGATTTGGGTTTTTTAACGTCTTTATTGGAGTATAACTGCTTTACAATGGTGTGTCAGTTTCTGCTTTATAACAAAGTGAATCAGCTATACATATACATATATTCCCATATCTCCTCCCTCTTTCGTCTCCCTCCCACCCTCCCTATCCCACCCCTCTAGGTGGTCACAAAGCACCAAGCTGATCTCCCTGTGCTATGTGGCTGCTTCCCACTAGCTATCTATTTTACGTTTGGTAGTGTATATATGTCCATGACACTCTCTCACTTCATCCCAGCTTACCCTTCCCCCTGCCCGTGTCCTCAAGTCCATTCTCTATGTCTGTGTCTTTATTCCTGTCCTGCCCCTAGGTTCTTCAGACCCTTTTTTTTTTTTTAGATTCCATATATATGTGTTGGCATACGGTATTTATTTTTCTCTTTCTGACTTACTTCACTCTGTATGGCAGACTCTAGGTCCATCTACCTCACTACAAATGACTCAGTTTCGTTTCTTTTTATGGCTGAGTAATATTCCATCGTATATATGTGCCACATCTTCTTTATCCATTCATCTGTCGATGGACACTTAGGTTGCTTCCATGTCCTGGCTATTGTAAATAGAGCTGCAATGAACGTGGTGGTACATGACTCTTTTTGAATTATGGTTTTCTCAGGGTATATGCCCAGTAGTGGGATTGCTGGGTCATACTGTAGTTCTATTTGTAGTTTTTTAAGGAACCTCCATACTGTTCTCCACAGTGGCTGTATCAATTTACATTCCCACCAGCAGTGCAAGAGGGTTCCCTTTTCTCCACCCTCTCCAGCATTGATTGTTTGTAGATTTTTTGATGATTGGCCTTTTGGTTTTAAATTGTCCCTTTTGAGTAGGAGACTCGGTCCCCTGGTTGTAAAGCTGTGCACGTTTGTCAGATGACAGGAGGAGGGTGACAGTGACGCTAGTGGGCACCATGTGTGCCGAGTGGCTGCTCTGCGCCTGGCACCAATCTATGGGAATTTACATTCACTTGCAAGCCTGACCCTCATGGCCGTCCTGGGAGCTGGCACTGTTCCTGCCTTCCACCTACCGATGATAAAACTGAGGGTCACGAAGGTTGATGCGTCCAGATCTCCCGGCTGCGGGATGACAGATCCAGGATTCAAACCCACACATCTGCTCTGAGCCGCCAAGGCTTCCTCTTCTCAGAAAAGGTCACCTCCTTCCTTCATACGCTCCCACTCTTCTTATAAATACCCTGAACACATTTCCTTCATCAGGAAAGAGATTACAGAGCACTTGGCGTTTTCTGAAGCAGGCGTTAAGGGTTCGGGAACCTTATTGCACTCGCTGCTCTGAATTCTAATCTGTGGCTCTCGCTAAACTCCGGGGGCCCGTCTGTGCCCCGCACAGAGATAATCACATCCCGAGAAGCTCTCCAAGACCATGGTCAGTGCCAGGCCGTGGCCAGCCCAGCTCGTCCCCTGACCTCTCGTCGCTCTGCCCAGAGTCTCGAGGGGAAGGGGCAGCCCGGAGGAATGCAGTGGCCTCTTGAGCGCCTTCTGGGAGGCGGGGCCGGCTGGGGGCAGGGTACGGGGAGGACTGCTCTGCATCCTGTGCTCTGAGCAGGTGTCTCCCCCTCCAGGTCTGGAAGAGGTCGGGGGCCTGGTTCTACAGAGGGATCCCCAAGTACATCCTGCCCCTGAAGACCCCCGGCCAGGCCGATCGCCCCCACTTCCGACCATTGCCCACAGAGCCAGCAGAGCAAGAGCCCAGAAGTACTGAGAGCAGCCGCGTCTACACGTGGGCCCGAGAGAGAGGTGAGTCCCCACCGCGCCCTCTCCGGGATGGCAACCCACATCTGAGCCATCGGCAAACCAAGCTGCATGCACCAGGCCGGGGCCCACCACCCCTCCACGGGGCTCACGCTGGGCCTTGCCCCTCTCTGTGCCCTTGGCTCCCCGCCTGCACCACGTGGGTGGCTGGTCCTCAGCAGGGTGCTTGCTTGCATCAGGAGGGTCCCCCGGGGGCCGTTTCACCAGTAAGCACTAATTAGGGGGCAGCAATGCCATGGACAGCACTAGGGATCTGTGCAGAAATGTGATGCCAGTTGAGGTTTTTTGCAAAGTATGAAAATACATCTTTCTAAGGCAGGTCTGTACCACCTCTTTTCAGTGCTTGCCTATGTCTCAGGAAGGGGGACTCCTGGCTTCCCTGGTCTTAACAAGCAAAGTGACGGTGTGCCCAGGGCCCCTTGGTGTTTGTGGTGACTGCACTGATGTGGGTGTGTCCTAAGTGGCCACCATCAGAAGGGGAATGCGCCCCATGGGTCATGATAACGGTGCTTGGGGTGGTGGACGGCTCTCCACTGCTTGCATGATGCTTTAGCGCTTGTGATTTTATCTTCAAAGTTCCTGGTCTCGCAACAGACTCTGGAGGTGGACAGAACAGGTATATTGTAGCCCCATTTTATAGATGAGTAGCCTGAGGCCCAGAGAAGAGGAGGGATTTTCTCAGTTCGGTGTGGCAGAGCTGGAACCAAAAGGTGGGGTCCTGCCCTTGCGTCTTTGACTCCTTCTGCCCTGAAATGTTGGAGTTTCAGCCCAAGACTCAGGGTCTGAGGGTCCTACATGAGACACAGCAGCCAGAGGGATGGGGGCTTATCCTGTTTCTGGGGACGATGGACCCAAGACAGTAGACATGGCATCTGCTTCTGAGGGGCTCTCGAACATCTCCATGTTTGGATTATGACCTGGCATTTACCTTCTTGTCATTTGGACTTTGGTTTTCTTGTTACAAAAGTAAGGCATGTTTATTAATACAGTTTTGAAAGTTGTCAAATGATATAATGTTGAGGTAAAAATCCCCTGTAGGTCAGCCCTTCCAGACATAACTGGCATTAACAGCTTGGTGTCTGTTCTCCAGATACTTTTTCTCGGCATCACTCGGGTTTTTGCAGCCAGCCTTCCTGCCTAATTCTCCTGGGCTCTGTTTGCCCTTCTAATTCCCGTGAGTTCACCTTCCCTGCCATCACTGCCACAGAGCAGCCTCGGTGGGGACCACGGCAAGTGCAGGTGCAACCTGGGCAGTCAGGGGGCAGCGGACGGCCAGAGGGGAGCCCCTTTTCCACCCTCAGCGCCGGGGCTTTCTCCTGCCCCAGCCTGGTCGGGGTGCATCTGTGTCCCTCAGACCGAGGGAAGAGGTACGGCTGTGGAGGCTGAAGCTGGGGGACACTGGTGGGTCTAGAATGTTGTTTCCCATAGATTGAGGAGGAGAGACCTTGAGGCCTCACCCCGAGGGGCCTCAGTGCCCTGGCTGCTCCAGCACCAGTGCGGCACACATGAGCACGCATGCGTGCACACACACACGCACACGCACACGCACACACATCCCTAGGGAAGGGCAGGACCTTCTCTTGTCTCCTCGTCAGCCACGCAGACACACAGATGCCCTTTTAATTATGTGGGCAAGGAGGCCAGCGGCCCACACACTTGGAGTTGGCACCGTTATTAACTGACTTTGCAGTGAGGCCGGGCCAGGCAACGTGGAGGTCCCCCCAACCCCGGTGTGAACTCGGTCTCCCTCCGCAGACTGGGTTGGAAGCCCCCCAGGCCCCCAGAGCACGAGGCCGCTGGAAAGTGGCTTCCCCTCGCCATCTGCAGCCCCATCATCAGTGGTGCGGGGTGTCAGGCAGGAGGCTGGAGTCAGAGCTGCGGTCTGTGGTCCAGATCAGAGCCTGTGTGCTAAGCCTGGCCCTCGTAGCACCCCATTCAGCCCCAACTGAGCTTGGGCCAGACAGAAACAGAGTGACCAGCACTGGGGTGTGGGCTCCCCCAACCATGCTGGAAGCTGTCTGCAGGCAGGGCCGTGTCTGTCCTGAACAGGCCGATTCCTCAGCACGTAGCCTGGGAGAGGCACGAGGTAGACGCTTATCAGGTGATTGAGTGGAAGAATGAAGGGATGAACTACCCACCTGCTCCGGGATGTTTGAAAGGCCTATGGAGGGATTTTCATTAGGACCTCAGGCTCCCCTGGGTCAGGGGTCTGGTGGACAGCCCAAGAGGCTGTGAAAACCACCTTGCTCTCCTGAGGCAGCTCTCCTCCCGCATCCCTGTCTCCAGGGCTAGCCCCACAGTCCCTGCTCCCTTATGTGGAAGCTGATCCTGACACCAGCTCCCTCTCTCTGACCGCCCCGTCACCGGCCCCTGCCACACTCTCTCCTCTGTCTTTCACTCTCCCTCCCTCCCTCCCTTTTGGGCAGGTACACCTGTGTCTCCCAGCTTCTCCCCCACCATCCCAGCTCACTTCACTTGGAAGAGGAAGGGGAATCAATAGATAGAAGCCAAGAAGTTTGCAGGCCACAGAGCAATCAAGTGAAATGTATTGATGTTTTTGAGGCAGGTCCCTTTTCTTCCTCCTTTAAATTGTCTTGGTTAATTTTTAATTACATGAGCGTACCTGATAAATTTTTAACAAGTTAAACAATTCAGAAGTCTATGAAGAATTAAAATCTCTCCTGCCATCATCTCCAAACCCCTTTCTCCCTATTCCTACCAACATATACTTGATACAGGGTTATGTTTTCTTTCGTTTTTATTTGAACAACAAAAATAGCCTCTTACCCATAACTCTGCATGTTGCTTTTTTCACTTAACAGAATATCATGGGCATCCCTCCAGGTCAATAGACACATAGATTTTACTTTATTCTTTTTAATGGCTGAGTAAAATCCCATCATATCATATATTGTGATTTAATTATTCACCTATTGATGGACATTCAAATGATTTCTGGCTTTTTGCCACTGCAGGCAGTACTGAAACATCCTTATATGTGTATGATGCTTCTATTTCCGTGGGGCAGGTTTCCAAAAACGGGTTGTGTGTTTTAAATGTCAATAGACATTACCAAACTATATTCTGAAAATGTTACAGTTTTTTTTGTTTTTGTTTTCGTTATTTTTGGCGGTACACGGGCCTCTCACTGTTGTGGCCTCTCCCATTGCGGAGCACAGGTTCTGGACGCGCAGGCTCAGTGGCCATGGCTCACGGGCCCAGCCGCTCCGCGGCATGTGGGATCCTCCCGGACCGGGGCACGAACCCGTGTCCCCTGCATCGGCAGGCGGACTCTCAACCACTGTGCCACCAGGGAAGCCCTGTTATAGTTTTTTATACCCACCTATACCTGCATCCTTGCCTGCCATGAATATTTTTGGTGTTTATCATTTTGGCCAGTAGGCTAGAAGAAAAATGATATTTCATTTTTCTGATTTGTACATTTGAACGTGTCTTCATGTCTTATTATTTATTGATTATTTAAGCTTCCTCTTTTAAAACTTGCCTGTTTAAACTCATCGCTCATTTTTTATTATGTTCTTTATTTTCTCTTACTGATTTGCAGATGCTCCTTAGGGGTATTAAATGGGTTGCAAACCTTTTTCTCCTTGACTTTATATTTTGTTTGACTTTAGTGTTTACTTATAGTATTTCGCCAGTTAAAAACAATTTCTTTTCATTTTTGTGAAGTCAAGTATGTCTTTCTCTTGCTTTGTGGCTCATAGGTTTCCTATCTTCCTTTGAAATGTCTTCTTCTACAAGGTTAAAAAAAATCTGTTAAATAAAAAGTTTAAGTAGTATGAGAATAAAAGGAAATACTTAAATATGATAAAATTACTCAAAAAGCAGAAATGTAACACCAAATATCATATTAACTGATAAAGCACTGAAGCCATGTTCTATCAAAAGACAAGTCAAGAATACCTCCATCACCATCATTCAACAGTATACTGTAGTATTTAACTAATGTAAAAGGCAAGAAAATAAAATAATCTGTCACTATTGGAAAAGAAAAAATTCTCTTATTTGCAGGTGATGTAATTGTATACCAAGAAAACCCAAGAGGGTCTATTAAAACAACCCACCAGGATTAATAAGAGAATTTGGGAAGTGACAGGACACAGAGTAAATCAATAGTTTACACCAAAAAATCAACAGTTTTACTCTATACTGACTAATTAGAACTGGAAAAATCCATTCATAATTGCAACAAAAATTGTAAAATGCCCAGAAACAAATTTTAAAAAAGAATTATAGGTCAAACATGGAGAAAATTATAGAATCTTATCAAAGGACACACAGTGGAATATTACTCAGCCATAAAAAAGAATGAAATCATGCCATTTGCAGCAACATGGATGGACTTAGAGGTTATCATACTAAGTGAAGTAAGTCAGACAAAGATAAATATCATATGATGTCACTTATATGTGGAATCTTAAAAAATGATACAAATGAACTCATTTACAGAACAGAAATAGACTCACAGACATAGAAAACAAACTTATAGTTGCCAAAGGGGAAAAGGAGGGGAGGGATAAATTAGGGATTTGGGTTTAACAAATACACACTACTGTATGTAAACTAGATAAACAAGGACCTACTGTATAGCATAGGGAACTATATTCGATATCTTGTAATAACCTATAATGGAGAAGAATCTGAAAAAGAGTGTGTGTGTGTGTGTGTGTGTGTGTGTAACTAAATCACTTTGCTGTACACCTAAAACATTGTAAATCGACTGTACTTCCATTTTTTTAAAGTTACTATAGTCAAGAGAAACAGTGTAGTGTTGTCACCAGAATAAATGGAATATTTATATAGATAAGTGGAACAGAATAGAAGAATAATAGACCTAAGGATGTATGGAAGCTAAACATAGGTAGCTTTTCAGTTCAACGGGAAAATAACTCATTTATTCATCCACCAGGGCTAGCATAATTAGATTTCCATCCCATTCCATCTGTATCCAGAAACACATTGCA